GGAAAACCTCATAGTTCTAATGAACCTTTTAAGGGTAAGACGCTATTTACCATTTTGATGCTTGAATAGAAACTCATGCTTATAGCTGCTACAAGTTTCCTTAGGGCAACTCTAACGTCGACCCACAAATTTCCTCCCGCATCCGTCCGTGGACAAGGGGACCAGTCTGCGGCCACGGATGCGGGAGGCGGTCATCCAACGCTGCCCGCATACATTTCAACTACTATCCGAACTAACCTGACCAAATTCGTGCAAACACGAACGGATTTCATATAAACCAAAAGAGATTCATGCAAACACGGCAGATTTCATACAAACATGATGGAATTCATTACATTTCGGACATACTTGAACTAAAAGTTGTGCTTATCCGACTCTGGGGGTATAATACCTAATCTAAATGATCATTTGCGCTCATTCCCCATGCCCGGCCATGAGCCCTGAGAACTGAAGCTTTGCCTTCTCTAGTTTCACCTCGGCGCTCTAGCTCCGCCTCCGGAGCCCCGGGAAGTGAAGTTGCCTGCCTCCACGTCTGCTAATCGGCCAACGATGTTCAGCCCACCAAGCTTGGCTGCAACTGGAGGGTAGGGGCGGTGACCTTCTTGGGACCCGAGCGGTGGTGACCTGCCATGCATTACTCTTCCTTGCTACCGGAGGCGCCCGTGGATGTGCCGGCTTCGTGGTCGTGGCAGCCGGGCACGGCCGGGGCGGAGTTAGCGATGTCCTCCTCGTCGTCGTTGGTCTTACCCCGTCACGTCATCTGTCGCCTCATCGAGCTCCTTGTAGGTGGCCTCCAGTTCTGCCTAACGCTAGAGGTACCGCGATCGATCGAGGCGGATCTGGCGGGTGGTAGGACTCGAGCAGCACCGCCTACTCCGCCACGTCCGCGTCCGGAGTGATCTGCCTGCCGGCGTTGAGCCGCTCCTTCGCCTGTTGGTGCTCTTGGAGGAGCTAGATGTAGGCCGCGTCGACCCGCGCCTCCCAAAACTTCTCCTCCAGCTCCTCCTGCACTATGTCCATGTAACGGGCATGGGCCTCGCCGATGATCATGGTGCAATGCACCGCTGAGGGTGGCGACGGTGACGAGGATGGGGCTGGCACGTCCGCAACCGTATCCTCCATTGGGGCGTGGTCGGCCTCCGGCTGCCTACCAGCCGGTAGCAATGGCGGCCATCTCCTTCTTCTGCTCCGGCGACAGTCTGTCTGAGAGAGCTTTGGTGTGCAAGGAAACCATGGTGGGAGTGCTGCAGAAGAGGAGAAAGGTACCGGAGGAGGATGAATGTGTCTATGAACGGGGCTGCCGTTTATATAGCGGGCGGATGGCAATGGTAGGCGGTAGAGGGATGGACGGGTGGCGCCGGAGTAGGTTGTTCGACAATAGTGTGTCAATGATGTGGGCAGGAGACGGACGGGCGGACGTGGTGTCGTTTGAATACAGAGCAGTCGCGTGCAGCGGGAAGCGTCGCGCGCGGCGCTCTCTCGGCCGGCACATCGCTTCAATGCCGGTAAATCAAGGTCGTGTCCGCTCTGGCCAGACATGAATGTGGCATTGACGCTATGGAGTGGCGCTGGTCATTTCAGGCGG